CCATTCCATTATTGGATTGGTTTCTACCCAGAGTTTATATTAGTCATCCAAAACCATCACAGTTTAAACCTGATTATAAATCTGGTCACAGCACTTTTACATGTATGGTTTGCAACATTTATATCTTTTGTCATAATATCTGGGTTTCTCTGAGCTAAATCAAGAGTTATCTTTATGGCTTGATTTATAGGCTGCACGAACAAGTACAATGTTCATAAATCTACTGCTCAATTTGTCTTTTCCATTAAATCTATCACAGTTTATGTCTGGGTAGAAAGGTCTCTCATTGCTATTAATTTCCCCACAAATCCTTTTTATTTCCACTATCAGCTATTCATCCTGTTCTTCCTTACAATTGGGTGGTCCATAGAACGTTTTAATTAATCTAGTCTTGGCTCTCCACTTTTGAAAGATGAATAAATTTCAGACCTGGAAATAATCCAAACGTCCTATCTCTTTTGCTTTCAAACACTTCATTGCATCTTTACTTCTCCGCCCAAACGTTTTCCCTATAATCCTCTTTTCAAATGGAGGCACCACAAAAACTTCTTTTGAGCAATCTTCTTTCTTCTTCCTATGCTTTCTGCTGCATATATTTAGATATTTTCCTTCCTTGCCATTATGTAACAACAATTTTTAATGTGAGAGATTTTCTTTCTTGCTTTGTTTGCCTACAAAGCTGCTTCCCTCTTCAACTCAAGTGCCATTTATATGAACTGGTTTTTCCTACATATTTCTTCCCTGCTTTTCTCTCTGTTAATTTTTTTAATGGGACACTGTCAGCTTGTTTAGGACCACAAATTTTCCTTTGTAATAGTTTCATTCCATGAAGCACCTTTGGAAGATTTGGAGCCATATTATTAAACATAGGTGTCCAAGTTGTGCTTGCAAAACATTTATGTGACAGCCACCATCTTGGTTAACACTCCAGGGATCTCCAGAGCTAACAGCGTAAGCTACTACACTTTGACCTAAAGAGCCAACGCTGTCTAGCTGGGGCTGTAACACTCAGATACTCTGGGATCAGGCAGAGAGCGGGACCTGTAACACACACTCATTAGAGGGTTACATTTGCATACCCACAAAAACAGGTATTGTGTGCATATGGGTGTTCGGGCACACAAATATATATTTGAGCATGCAATTGTGTACATGTGCTGTACACGCAAACACCTAAGTACAGCCCATATTACCATGGCATCTGAGCACCAAGCACTCCTTAATATATTTATTCTCACCAGACTGCTCTGCGTTCTGCTATTAGCTAAACAAGGCACATGACCATATTAGCTAAAAATCTAATACTCATGCACACCTTCATGGTTCTAAGATTTAGCTCAAACAAAAAATCAGAAAAAGCTTTATTGTGCACACTTGAAAATGCTTTTAGCACTCATAGCTTCAGAATTGCTAAACCAGTTTCCATAAAACAACTCAAGTTTGAACAAAATCCATTCAAGCATTATTGAATTACCCAGGGACAACATTTCTAATGTGATAATGCAAGTTGTTTGTTTTGTTATGACCACAGCTCAAAAATATCTGAAGGGAGTTTGCACAAACATTTAGTAGATTCCTAGACCAGCAGGGACCGTTGTGACCATTTAGTCTGATCTCCTGTGGGCCATAGAACTTCCCCAAAATAATTCCTAGAGCAGATCTTTTAGAAAAACATCTAATCTTGATTTTAAAATTGCCATTGATGGAGAAACCACCATGACCCTTTGTACGTTGTTCCAAGGGTTAATTACTCTCACGGTTAAAAATGCATGCCTTATTTCCAGTCTGTATTTGTCTAGCTTCAACTTCCATCCACTGAATCGTATTTTAACTTTCTCTGCTAAATTGAAGAACCTGTTATTAAATATTTGTTCCCCATGTAGGTACTTATAGACTGTGATGAAATCACCCCTTAACCTTCCCCTTCATTAGGCTTACTAGATTGAACTCCTTGACTCTATCACTATAAAGCAGCGGTGGGCAAACTACAGCCCGCGGGCCACATCCGGCCCGCGGGACCGTCCTGCCCGGCCCCCAAGCTCCTGGCCCGGGAGGCTAGCCCCTGGCCCCTCCCTTGCTGTCCCCCCTCCCCCGCAGCCTCAGCTCACTCGCTCCGCCACCAGCACAATGATCTGGGCGGCGGGGCTGTGAGCTCCTGGGGCAGCGCAGCTACAGAGCCTGGCGTGACCCGGTGCTCTGTGCTGCATGGTGGCGGTGGTGGTGTGGCCTGGCTCCAGTTGGGCGGGGCGGCTGTAGCGCTGCCAGCTACCGATGCTCCAGGCAGCATGGTAAGGGGACAGGGAGCAGGGGAGGGGGGTTGGATAGAGAGCAGGGGAGTTCAAGGGTGGTCGTCAAGGGGTGGGGGTGTGGATAGGGGTCGGGGCAGTCGGGGAGGAACAGGGGGTTG